GGAGAAAGACCTCAACTCTTCTATTTCAGCAGTGAAATAAATGCCTTAGCGCAGCTCAGGGAACACAGGCAAAGGGCTCAGTTTGAGGATTAGATTAAAACAAGGTTCACCTCTCCCAAAGATCAGGGTTATCGCGAAAGCTCATTCGATGAGTACGTGTGATTCTCATACTGTATGAGGCCAACTCACGCATCTGAAAGGATACATTTTTTTTAAAAGGTAAAATTGCGGCTCTCATCCAAATACAAACGAACATATGCTAAAGATTTTAGGCAGCTCATTAATTCAGGAAGGAACCAGTAAGGTGCTCCGACAGGATGAAAAGGGAATTGGAAGTTCACACACTCCAAATGAATTCGCAGATAGATGCAAACCCGGTTAATGTCTACAGAGTGATAACCAGTTACTGCAAGACCCACTTATAACCCAGACAGGATTTATTTGCATTTCTATGGACGAGAATCATTCGCATTACCCTTCAGTTCTGTCCGAGCCGCGGAGCTGTGGAACAGCTTGTGGGCATCTAGAGACAGCCAGCCCCGAAGGCTGCCGGATGAGACGCCCGGTAATGTGGGTTTGATCTGTCTCTGAGTCCACTTCAAAGCCCTCACAGTTTCTTCTGGCAGTCTCCTGCCTTGTTATCATAATCATCTCAAAGAAAGATTATTCTTGATCCAACTCAACAAGCACTTAAGAGACTGGGCCAAATGCTCTAGCTGTTCACCAGAATTCTCGACCCGTTCGCTGCATCCTTGCTATCAGGCTCTCTTAACCCAGGACCTCCAGGGTCCCCTTGCCTGCGGACCCCGTGTGCTCTCAGCCCTGCCAGGCAGGTACCTTGAACCAGGCCTTCAGACGCTGCTGCCCTCTTTGAACCCCCACTCAGTGAGGAGAATGATCACACCCCACAGAGAGGCAGTCCTCTGGGTGCCCATGAGGCCCAGCGTGCTCTCCATGGAGGGTTTCGACTCTAGGCAAGTGCACAGACAAAGGCTCAGCGGAAGCTGCAGAGTTCTGCTTCATGAAAGCTCTGGAGAGGCCCTCTGGTAATGGCTGGCGTGTGGCGAGGGCAGGTGTTGCGAAGGGCCTGCCCCCGCCACGGAACCATGCCAGTTTGGCCCCTTGCAGGAGCCACGGTTTCCAGGAGAACGGCATACTGACCGGCCTGTCAGGAGGAGCTGGCTGCAGAGAGTGTCCCGAGTAGCCGGGTGGATGGAGTTATTTCGAGTCGTCTGCTGGCACGGTGGAGAACGTAGGCCAGATACCATTTCCATTTTAGTGTATTGCTGCTAAGCTGTTCTTTCTAACCATAATTAGCCAGCATGTTCAGCTGTTTCTTAAGGGCACTGCTTCCTAGTAAAAATAAAAACCAGATCCTTGGTGCAGGGGACAGTGCGGGTCTTCCTGTTTGGCGTGGCAGAAACAAGGCCCACTATGCAACCGGCAAGGCTGTGAACTGTTTCGGCAAAGCCCACAGAAGTATTTTGCACAGTAGAAATCGGAATCAGCACACAGATAAGCACATCTTTCCACTCTAGGTTCTTCATGTAATAATATTTTGAGCAGTAATAGTAAGAGTGTAGATTACTTTGGACTCTTCTATATCACAGTCTCTCTAAGAAAAACAGATGGGAGTTGGAGCCAGCTCCAGAAAGCTCCAGTCAGGAGAGCCAGATGCGAATGAGGGACTAATGATGTTCTTAGACCCTTTTGTAGGCATGTGAAGCGACTGAACGGCCAGAGAGGACCCGTGTGTGCCAGGCTCTCTGCCGGCTGTCACAGGTACAGGGAGAATCGGGCTCGGCCCGCCCTTATGGGGTTCACAGTCTCCCCGGAAGACATACATGTAGACCAGTAACTATCATACACAGTGCTAAGTACTCAAGGGATAATATACATAATGGTACAGAGACCCCAAGGAGGGAAAGAGGAAGCCTGCCTGGGTCAAGGGTCAAGGGCAGTATGGAGGAAAGCCGTAACTGAGCTAGGACACGAAGAGTGAGGGAGAATTTTCCCAGGCCAACACTTCCACGGCACCTGGCAATGTCCGAGCCCATTCCCCATTGTCCGTCGAAGCTGGCTATTCTCACCGGGCCTCGAGGCTCATGCTTTGGGGCTTTTGCTGATGCTGCCCCATCCTCTGCCTGGCCCATGCGATAACCCTGTCCCCTTTGAAGGTTCTCTGCTTCACCTCCCAGCTGGTCCCTCTTATACCAGGGTCTTACAGCATAAGGGAGTCCTCCCATGGGAGCTCGTTAAGTGGCAGGATGTGGTGATGAGTGTGACCTTCTCCCTGCTGTTAATGAGCAGAGACGGATCACCTCAACCCTGCAGCCCAGCAGCCGGCAGAGTGCCGGGGGTGAAGCCGATGGCTGGTCGGGATTTAGTGTTGGGTGAGCGGACGCACGGGTGGAAGGCGTGATGGCACAGGAAGTCTGCTTCCTGGAAGAACCCAGCACACATGCCGTCTGCCGAGAAAACAGCAGGTATGGTGTTTTGAAACGATGTCTTATTTTGGTAACCTGAGGAGAGTGGAGCACTGGTCTTAAGGGAGAGGGTCTAGGACTGTAGTCCGAGGGTGTCACAAAGGGACTTGACCAGAGAGAGACTTGTTTTGGTTCACTTGCCAGGGGCCCACCAGGTGTCAGGACTGAGGAGACAGAGACTGACGAGCCTGGTCCTGGTCTCAAGGACACAGATGGCCAGCGGGGTCGTGTTTGTCTGAACCCCGAGGGCAACACTTCTGCTCCTGCCTCCGCCATCTCCATACAGAAGGTTCTCACAGGCCGCATGAGCGCGGCAGCCTCAGGAAACCCTCATCATCTCAGGAAGGTTATTTTAATAAATAATGCCGATGCCGTCCCCCCTTGACCAGAGCTGTGGAGCTGAAGCCACGATGGACGGCGGCATGCAGACCGGGTTCCCTTCGCACCCCAACCCCCCAGAGTTTGAGAAAAGAGACCAGGTGGGCTGTCAGGGGTTCCCTGGGAAATGGGAACCAGGACCTCGGGTATGCCTGGCTCTTAGACGGGGCTCACAAACCAAGCCATCACAGCTAAGGGTGTAAACTGAGAAACCCAGGCGATGGGATTCACATCTTGCTCCTGGGACCTCCCTCAGGGGACTGTCTTGGGAGCTGCCACCCTTCAATGAAGGCAGTTTCACGGAGTGGGTCCCTTTCACCTCCGCACAGATGGAAACCTACATGTGCCATTCTGGGTCCATATTCATCTCAGAGCCACAACAGAAGTGCTAGGAGGAGACTCTGCTCCACGGACCGTCTCTGTAGCTGCCCAACGCTCATTAAGAGCGCAGGCTGTGGAGGCAGACAGCCCCGGGGGGAACCTGCTGTCACCTCCCACTGGTCCTGTGACCCTGGCCAGCGACCGATCCCGTGAGCCAGCAGCCTCTGCGGGGACATGAGTGTCAGACAGGACCTGCTGCAGCGTGAGCATGTGGGGATCGGAAGGAGGATCTCTTGTAGGAGATGACGGGCAAGTGTGAGAGACCGTTAGGAGAGAAGGTGAAGTTACTCATTATGGGATGCGCAGCTGGGTTGGCGTGAGTAAGGGCAAAGATGCAGGATGCTTCCCCCTGCGTGAGTGAGCAGGGCCCACTAGCCTCGTGCACTTCTGCCAGCCTGACTCAGGTGATGGGACCCTGAGAGGGCGCCATTCCTAGCTGTCCTGGAATAGAGACCCATTTATCATAATGATATCCTGAGAAGACAACCCATGGGCCCGTGACACGGATGTCCCAGAAGCCCAGCTCCCTGTGTTCTGGCTCACTCCCCCATGGGGGAGGCCCAGGGAGGACTGCAGGAGCACAGGGGAGATAACATGATAAAGGGAGAGTGGCAGGGGCAGGTGCCACCATGCAGGCACCCAGGACTGGGGGTTTCATTGTAAGCCCTGCAGGGTGTATCCGGGGAGCACACGTCCTTCATGTTTTAAGATGTTTCTGCTTGTGGCAGAATGCTTTGGAAGAGAAGAAGAGTAGAAGCAGGGGGACAAGTCAGAGGCTGTCTTGGTGAGAGAGAACGGGGCCTACAGAGCTGGAGAGGGGTGCAGGGACCAGCTCATCCTAGGTCACAAGCCAGCAGCATGGGTGAGCTGGGGATGTGGGCGTGGGGCCGGGCAAAGGAGAAAGGAGCCAAGGACTCTTCTTGGCCTGCCAGCTTGAGCAACACAGGTCTCCCCAAGGGTGCTGTGGGGCTGGATCTGAAACGTGAATGCCCACACTAATGTGGTGAAGACCGCTAGAGTTAAAAGGACTTGAAATCACAGTCTGAAGAATTCACATGGCCTCACACGGAAGCGTGAGGCCACCAGAGATGGGGAGGGATGACACTCTGTGCCTGACTCCAGAGGTCTGGGCAAGGATGCTGAAGACCAAGATCTCTTTTCAGGGAAAAGAAGTCCCTTGAAGTCACAGGAATGCCCATGACTTCCTAAGAAGAGATTGCAGGTGGCAGGGAGGAGAGATGCTGGGGAGCCTGTCACATGGCCCATGGGGAGGAGGGAAGGACCAGCAGGGCTGATGCAAAGCCAGAACATGCTGACCGAGGCCAACAGGTGGAGAAGGGGCAGCCCCGGGAATACTTAGCCCTTGTCTGCGCCAGAGGAAACAAGCAAAGATGCCAACTAGTATTGTGCTTGGCTCCCAGCCAGCCCCAGGTGGAGGCAGACTGTTCCCCAAGCCCGAGTTTGCGGGGGACGGTGCTGAATGGGTGTGTGCACAGCCTCCCTGTGGCGCCTGGGCCTCCAGATCCGGGCTCTCACGGGAAGACCCCAGGCTTCCTTCTCATCCCTCCTGGGCGCCCAGGTCACCTTCTATCTCCCCCGAAGCCAGAGCTGGGGTTTTCACTGGAACTCTGCAAAGCATCCGTAGCATTTGACCAGTTGTTCAGGGTCCAAGCCCGAAGTAAAGGTGGAGGGTGTCACGTGCGCAGAGAGCAATCTGACTGCTGTCCACAGCAATGACTTGGCTTCGCTACTTACTGTTCTCAGACAGCTCCACGATGTAATAAAGCACTGGGCTGTTTCCATCAAATGGTCGAACCCAAGACAGCATCACTGTGTGGCTATGGGAAGAGTTCAGGTTGGCCAGCAGGTTCTGAGGTGAGTGAGGCAGTTCACTTGGGCACAAAGGAACAAAAAGAGAAGAGCGCACATCAGAGTCCACGTTTAGCCTGGTCATTACGCTGCACAGTCCTGGTGGGCAACGTCCGGAAGACGGAGAACATAAAATATGCCCCAAACCCAAATGCTCCTCCTCCACTGCCCCCCAAAACCCTTCCTCATTCACAGTGTTGTTTTTTTCTACCAGAAATTTGATCTGATCCTTTCCGCGGAGATTATGCACCTGATGACTCTAACTTTAGTCGGGTGGGGAGGGCCAGTATCTATACAGTATGATATTTAATTGAGAAAACTCCATCTGCAATTAGTTCTTACAACTTGAAGCTGTTAATGGAAATGCAGGAAGCCATCACCAGGAAAAAGCTAGGGAGTAAGACTGAACACGAGAGTTTTGGACCCTAGCACATGGGGTGCTTAGCTGAAGCGCCCACATGAATTCCTGGAGGGCTCCCTATCGATGGCATGGGGCTGGGCTCATTCCATCTTCTGCTGGGTAACAAACAGGGTTTGGGGGAAGGACTCAGGGGAATGTAGAGAAAACTGTAACTAATAAATGCCCTGGAAACGGGGACTAACACATCAGCAGGGCTCTAGAATGGAAACACAATGAGAGCAAATGAATACCGCCAACGGTTTACGGGGATTTACCAGGGACAAAGCTTCAAAATCCAGCTGCATGGCCCCAGGCTGGGGCTTTCCCTCTCCATCTCACGGATCGGGGGCAGCACCCTGTTCTGTGGCCACTGTTGGGAATGGTTTCTTCTAGAAACGTCTCCAGGCGGTGCTGGGAGAGGGGTGCCACGTGGACCTGATTCACCCACTAGCTAGGTTTTGGTCTCTCTTAGGCATCAGTTACTGCTGGCCCACATAGGTCAGCACAAAGAGCCATAATTATGCTTGATATTTTTAATTTTAAAAACGTACTCATTACACTGTGAAATTTATTAAGCCATTAGATGCTTGTAGCTACCTAAGAAACACGGCTCTCTCTAACCCAGGCACACTGTTAATAAACAGACTAATATTTCCAGGGTAGACTGAAACTTTAAATTAGTACAATAAAGAAGCAACATGAGCCCGAGACATTGGCTTGTTTTCTCTTTAATTGTGAGTTGGTTTTAAATCAGAGAGGGACCTGTTTGTTATTTCTCTTTGAGTTCTCCAGTAACTGATTCTCCCTTAAATGCCCATGATGGCCAATCTGAAGGGAATGCCAGCATAAAATACCTAATCTTCTCCTACACCCCGCTTCCTATTGAGAGCAGCTTGTTCTGAAACCTAGACCAAAGTTGTTGAAACAGTCCCACGTGACAACGAACTGAGATAAACTTGGATAAATAAGCCCAAATAAGACTGTGGTATCGTCAAGTGTTGGTCTGGTCTTCACCGCAGGTTCCCGAAGTAGAACTCTAAACCCCTGGAAGTTCCTGAGGGACAGTCTTAGCTCTTCGTGGGGCCCCCATCGGGCCACACCTGAGTTTATGCCAACAATAGCACTCAGGACGGCCCCTGCAGAGTTCCAGGAGGGGACTTGCTGTGCTGTAAAGACCAACCATGTGGTTAGAGGGTTGGGTCTTTGAGCCAGTGAGATCAGCCAGACCTTGTGATCTCCTGGAAGGGGAGGAGTGGGAGCTGGGGACTGAGCTCAGTCATGTGGCCAGCGACTTGGACATCCCAGTAAAATCTCTGGACACCAAGCTCGGTTGAGCTTCCTGGTCAGTCACCAGACATCCGTGTGCCAGGAGGATGACGCCTCCCGAAGATGTGGAAGCTGTGTGTTGGGGACCCTCCCAGACCTTGCCCTTGCCTCTCTTCATATGTCTGGACCTGGTTTTATCCATTATAATAAGACAAGTATTCTAAGTAGGGCACTTGACAGAGTTCTGTGACATGTTCTAGGCAGTCATCCACCCTGCTGGGGTCGTGGGAAGCTCCGAATGCTAGTGAGCTGGTCAGAGTCACAGGTGGCCTGGGGGCTGTGGAACTGTGGCTGGTGTCGGAAGCGAGCAGCGGTGCCGGTGCCCTTCAGCTGTGGGGTGCATGCTGACTCGAGGGGATCAGGATCACACTGTAAAGACTTCCCCTAAAGTACAAGGTTTTCTCACATGACGAACACTAACCGGGAAGGATGACTGGGATAGTTGGTGTCCCAGGCTGTTGTTCACTTGGGACACGGCCACGCACTGGCCTGAGGGCCACCCACTCTCACTTCCAAGTCGGGAGGAGAGATGTACATGCAGCCCCAAGGCTTGGAAGCAGATCCAGGAGCCGTAAGAGCCTGGAAGGACCGGGGTGATGGAAAGAGGCGCTGGGAGGTCCTAAGAGGATCTCACAGTGGGCAGGAGGCAAGTCCAAGGACACATTTCAGAGGAACAATTTCTGGAGGCTGACACTGCTCGTGACTTATTCTTCCCACCAAAGCAGGGTGTTAGTTTGCTCGTCCTTCTCTCAATCAGTGGTTACACACCCATCCCCGCTCCCACGTTCACCGTCACACGCATCTAAGTAGTCACTACGTCTGACCTACTGTACCTGAGAAATGGCCAGAACACCAGCCCCTCATTGCCACAGACCAGCCTCAGCCCAACTGACACTGGCTCTCCTGAGAGTCATGACATGCGACCCTCCCGAAGGGCCTGCTGGCTGCCTCTGCACAGGGTCATGCCATGAGCTAGCTCCCACATCCGCTGTGACCCCCTCCCACACTCTTTAGCCCCCTCCCCACACTGGGTGCCCTTCTGAGAGCATCAAACTTCTAGCAGCAACCTGAGCAGAGCCACTGCGTGAGATGTCCCATTGACTGGAGGGTCACTCCAATCAGAAACTCAGCCTCCAAGGCTTGGTCTCCCTCTCACCTTCGACTCATTCTGGAGCAGAACCAATCACTTCTACCTCTTGATTCTCATTGCAATTTATAGATTTTTCCATTCACCAAACATCTTGAAGCCCTACAGGGGCCAGAACCCCACTGTATCCTGTCTGATTATGGATCTGCCTTTCTCGAGGGCAGGAAACTTCTCTCCTCCCTCCTTTTCTTCTTTCCCTGGTTCCCAAGGGAGAGGCTGCTACTTTCTTGCTCTCCCAGAGCTGACAAGCTATGTAAGGAAGGACATGAGGTCCATATGCAGACTGGGACACCTCAGGTCAGGAGCCACAGGGTGGTTCTGAAGATAAGGTTGGGCAGGAATGCAGGGCAGGGCTGCATCAAGGGTCAGCGTATGGGGGGGGTTGTCACATGGCTGGAGGGGTATGGGCTCCCTTAGGCAGAAAGGATAAGGAAGGAGAATGGCCTAATGGCAAGGCTAAGACTGGGGGTGGTTTGGGGGGTAGTGGTGGGAACGCAGGGTTTGTGCTGGGTCACAGAGGAAGGCAAGTAAGAGACACATGTGTTTAAAATTTCTGGGCTAGCTCTGTGACATTGACTTTCCAGGGCTGGAACTGGGACCCCAAGGGTAGCTCACTGGAAACTGTCCCAGGGACTGGATAAAATATCACACGACATCTGTGTATTGGTCGGGAGAGAGGACAGATTCTGAGATACAAGCTGGGTTAGAGGTTAAGGAGGGAGCCAGGCATCCAGGCTCTGAGAGGAGATGGTGAAGGGGCACACAGCATACTGGGGACAAACCTGGAAGAGTGGCCCTTCTGGACCTTGAGTTTAGATGAACTGGACCCAAGCCTGTAGGGGAACAGGCTCCTATTAGACAACAGGAGTGTCAGCTTGCGGCCCCAGAGAAACTACTGCATCTCTGTGCACCCTGTCCTGTGGCCCTGCATGGGCCACGCTGGATCCACTTCTAAATTTTGAAAGCACATCTTTCCCACACCTGGGAAAATATGGGGGTCTTCCACTGAATTTCAGATCATGCTTCTCTCAGCCTAAAATGAGAGCTAAGAAATGCCCAATCTGACAGGTGACCAGACAGCTTTTTTCTGGGGGAGTGGAGTGTTCCGTAGACTATGGGCCAGTCACAGCCACTCCGGGAGTGAGAGAAAATGACCTGAGCACTTGCCCCTGGAGGGTGCTTGTGCATAGTCCCTGCCTGCCCCTCAGAGCTGGCTGATTCTCATTCAGCCCGTGATTCTAGTAAGAGTGGTTTCTGACTTCCCTCCTCCTTGCTGATCAAAAGCCACCAAGAACGAGAAGGCCCTAGGGCCTGCTAGAAGGGGGCACCCTGAATGGCAACATGGCAGCCAGGGGCCTGAGATGGAGGGGAGATAGAAAAGACTTTGGAACTATGAAGACAAAGTAGACCTGAGACATTTAATGTAGGAACAGGGAGTCACAAGCTCAGTGGTGCCCAAGGATATGATGTGATGCATCAAGAAACAATGAGCCTCCATCCACCACTGCCCCCACAGAGTCTTCTTCATGGGCTCAAGGTCACGCCCAAGATGGTCGCCCAATGAGCAGTGTAACCTTTTACATACACTACAGGACTTGAGAGTCGGAAGGAAATTTAGATTTTTTCTAGTTCCAGCCTCAGTTCTATAGGAAAATCCCCTTTATAGTATCTCTTGTGTTCAGTACTACCTGCTTCTCAATGCAAAGAACTTTTTAATATACGTTGGAAATGTAAACTGTTTCCTTAAATGATAAGTTTTGGTTATCAAGAAAATTAAGCTTTGTGCAATACTTGACTGACCCATCAATAACCGATAAAGGAGGCTTTAATATATTCTGAATCCATTTCAGAGAATCTTATCTAATAGGAATAGATTGTGTCTCGGCATTTCTCTGCCAACTTTGAAAGGAGATAAATGATCAGGACAGTGACTCACAGACAGTGATATGCAGACAGGGTGACAAATGAAAGGGGATCTGGGAGCAATGGCAGTGAAGTCGGTGCTGAGTCACATTGTAATTTAAAGAGAACTGGGGGGGAGTCACCATCAAGCAAATTATAACATAAGACTATTGGAGATGAACAAGAAACCAAGACTGTATGGGAAGGAGATTAAGCCAAGTGTGTTAGGGGAAAACAGCTTTGAAAAAGACTTGAAGCAATTGGCAAAATTGTGGCCATGGGGGGATTCACTATGCGGAACAGGGTCAACTGAGTATTTTTCCAGGTGGAAGTGCTGTCCCTTTAATGCACAAATGATGACCCTGGTCAAACACATCTTCTCCGACCTCACCCAGAGAATGAAGATGATGGGGGCCTGAGAGCCCTTGAGAAGCAGTATTAAATTGTTCACTCCTTATTATGGCTTTGTCAGATGTTGCTTTATTGAGAAACCTCTCCCACTGCCTCAGGGACTGATCGTCGTCAGCTCCATAAATTAGGTTTTTCTCTGTACTCCAGGCTCCTAAGAATTAGTCTCTGATCTCAGAAGGAAAGATGCAAAGCTAATTGGGTCTTTAAATGATTAATAATTACTCAATCCATAAAACCCTAGGAGCCTGGTCCCCTGGGTGTGTTCAATATAGCAAGATGCTTTGGGGTATGGGGCCATCCCAACCTAGCTCCTTCCTGTGAGGCACCTGTGAATTAGCAGGGAAGACACGGCCACCCAATCAGTGACCGGCATCTCATGACGGCCTGCATATGGTTAACTTACAGAGCACAACGTGGGACCGTGGGGATTTGTGGGAGCCTCTCCTCTCGGGGAGGCGATGAAGGCAGACCCCTCATAAATTAGCCTTCCTCTGTGATACCAATTACACAAGTTCAACCTCATGGGAGGGAGTTGAGGCTCAGTCTGACGTTTATGGGACATTTATACCTGGCACAGTTCCAGGCACAGAGGGCTCAGCAGCAGAGAGACATACATAGTGGGTCTGAAGGTCACAGAGTGTGGTCAAAGAGAAAGCAAGATACAGGGGAAACTTCCTGGCCCTGGATGTGGGGAGGCTGCCCTTGCTGAAGGAGTCACGGCCCTTCTTGTGAGATGCTGAGGGAGGAAGAGGAGCTGTGATTTATCGAGTACCCACCTGAAACTGGCTTCCAGGCCAGGCTTCTACAAACGCTGGTTCAGTCAAACCTCACAACAGCCCTATATGGCCATGACAACACGTCCAGCTCACGGTAGGGAAAACCAAGGCTGAGACATGGCAGCTAACTTGCCCAAAGTCAGGAAGCAGGGTGTTCAGTCCCGCCTGGCTGGTGGGCGGCACCCCCTGAGGACCTGCTGGCCCCTGTGGTCCTGCCAGAACTGTGCCTTCTTCAGCACTGTCCTAGGGGTAAGGCGATACGTATCTGGCCAGGCTGGCACAGAGGAGGGCGCTGAAACTCGCTAAAGACAGGCCGAGAGCAAGCCAGCGGACGGTCTGCTTCTGCAAAGCCCACTTCTGACGCCCCTAATTTCTATATTTAACAAAGTAGCTTTTAGCTCAAGTGGGGAGGTAGGGGAAGCAGGCTTTCAGCCTCTTTTGAAGGACACTATCTAGCCGTAAGTACCTCTCAGTCACTTCTGCAATATGAGATTTTTTCCTTTTTCCCTTTTTTTTTTTTGTCATCTCAGTAAATCACAGAAATGTTACGGAGCTTGATTTGAAAGTTCTCTGAGAAGCACAAAACACCCTGCAATCGTGACTTATGACTATTATCATTACTGTTGTCATTACTGATGTCGTAGAGTTAAGACCTATTTGGATCTAAAGATAGACCACGCTGTAACCTATAGCTTCCTCAATTCATTCAGATTTGCAAGAGTGGAGTGTTTATTACACTCACAATTCACAAGGAGCCACGGGCTTCCAAAACAGCTCTGCAACCCGTTGTACCTAAACTGGTTTGAATCACAAATCTGCAAATATTTCTATATTTAGGGATGAGGTGTTTTACCATTACAGAAAGCCCATTATTTTATAGATACAGCAACATTTGCTGAAAAATGCATTTTACTCAAAGGAAATCAAATAAGCAAATAGAAGGGAAGATATGTAAATCAGTAGAACATAAAAACTGTGTGGAATAAAAAGCATGCACTGTATTGGAAGCAGGTAATTTGGCTTCTGCTGACAGAGTCTTTAGGAAATGCTAACACTTATTTATTTGATACCAATGATGGATGATCTAAGAGTTCTCAAAGGTAGTTTTAAAAATGGGAATAGCACAGTGGATTATGTGAATTTGCTGGTCATATACTCCAATATTATCAAAATATGAAAAAAAAAGATCCCCAACATGACGGAAGGAGGAAAGACAGGAGGAAGAAAGACACAGGGCCAGAGCCGAACAGGGGTTTGGGAGTAGGGGGCCTGAGCTCTCCATAGTGGGATCCGAGCCTGTGTGCTTAGGAGGAACAGCCTGGGGCGTGTGAGCCTCAGAGGGAAGAGCCAATCAGAAGGACGACCAGCCAGTGGCTGGTAACCTACACACATTTATCCATTCATGGGCACATCTACCAGCCAACGTATATTTATGGAGCCTTGCTGGGCTCCCAGAGCACTGCCAGGCACTTGGAGTCCAAAGCTGTGCCATCCAGGTGTGTCTGCTTCAGTAGGGAAGGAATGGTGAAAATTCACACCCCACCCCCGGACAACCAGGGCTCTGGCAGAAGGTCCACTCGAGGGCCAGGAGGCTGTGAGACATCTGGTGTCCCGACCCAGGGGTGACCCCCTGGCTGAGCCCTAGAGGAGGCATTAGCCCTTCAGGGGGGATGGCAAAAGACAGAGGCCCCACCACGGAGGCAGCAGCAGGCTAAGACTCCGGGCGAGGGCTAGGTGAGCATGGAGGGCAGAGAGCCCAGGGTCAGCAGGTGCAGAGGCTAGAGCTGGGGCGCCGAAACCTGGCACATCCACACATACTCGGGCAGCCGTCTGGACAGCGGCCCCCAGCACACTGGCCTGTGGCTGTGGCACCAAGCCCCCCACATGTCTCCTGGGGCTGCAGGGCACCCACTGCTCTCCCTAACTAACAAAGGACTAACGTCTACCCACACGAGAACAACGGGTCACCCTACAGAGGCCAATGAGGAGGTAGAAGGGGCTTTTCCAGGTACTAGAGGCACAAATAAGACTTTTCTGGATTTGTTGCTACACATCATTAATCCACCAAATTCCACAAAGAGAGGCTAGCACAAAGTGGCCCGTCTGCTCGCTTGCTCATGGGTGTGTGCAACAGACACGGGACGCTGTGCGTAGCACATAGCCTGCGTTTTTCTCATTCTCATCCCCTTGGCCAGAGTCTAGGGATCCAAAGACAAATGAGACTGACCCTATATGCAAACCATTCACACCATGTGTTCGGGAGTGGCTTTTGTCTGTAGAACCCTCCCCAGATGGAGGGGCAGAGACCTTTCCTACGGGCCCAGCAGGACCCTGTTGGTGGCTGGCCTCACCCCCAGAGCTGGCTGCCCTAGGACACCGGACTCACACGGCTACCATATCTTTGGAGTCACTGTTGGATGTGTGTTCAGGGACTGTCTGGGAGGACACCATTCTTCAAAAAACAAATATGTCAGAGAAAGGGAATTTGTCAGCAGGCTCCTCAGCCCCTGCCTGTGAACAGAGAGCAGTTGTACTAAAGAAGGCCCAGGGACAGAGGAGGGCGGTAATTTCCCACCCGGGCCCCAGGGACCCCCAGGAAGTCCAGGTCAGCCTCTTGCTATTCTTAGGACTTCCAGAGACTTCATGGAGCGTGTGTCCTTGCCCGCAGAGAGGCAGCCAGCTCTCATGGAATGGTCTTGTCTCACCAGGCCGACCCCAACATTCCTCGCCGATGGCAAGTGCTGACAGGCATCATGCCACAAAGCAGACTGAGTGCTCCTCACACATGGTGCGATGAACAGGGCCCACCACGATGCGGTGCCAATGGGGGAAATGAGGGAAACAGAGAGGAGGAGAATGAAAACCAAGTATCAACTTTCTAAACCAAGAGCGCAATGTTTTAATTTCAAGGATCCGGTGAAACCCCAATGTAAGGCCGTGGCCTCTGACTGCTGGCTTGGGACCCACTATGGCACCACGTGTGTTAAGTGACAGTCACTGGAAGTCAGGACAGTGGCCCGTTATCCTGCAGATAATGGGGAGGCAAGGCAGTTAGGCTACACGGTGGCAACACTCACATCACCTCTAGCCGGGCCGTCCTGGAGTCGTTCCCTCCTTCAGACACAATTTCACAGGTGTAGTCTCCAATGTCACCAGACCACGTCTGGCTAATGAGGAGGGATCCATCCTTCTCTACCACAATCCTGGAACTGCTAGATGGGGTGATGACTGTGTTGTCCTTCTTCCAGATGTAGCTGTAGGCCAAGCACGGAGTCACGAGTTAGAAAAGATCTCCAGTTAGGATCCAGCCAAGGGCCAGAGTTAGGATCTGGGCCACAGGCAACTGACCACCTTGTAAGTGGACCAGAAGCCACGGCACTGTGCTCCTTAAATGGGTGAATTTTATGACATGGGAATAGATCCAAAAGAAAGAAAAAAGAAAAGCAACCAGCTATCTTGGTCACAATACAACAACAGACGCTGAAGTCAAAAACGGGTCAGGGAGGACCATGGAGAACACTGATCTGGTCTTTGGATTTAGAGAAGGAAGTCTGTCATGTCATGATCACACTTGCCATTTCCTAAATCTTCTTCACCTTCCCACCCAGGAATGCGCCTGGAAGAGGGGGTTGTTGACCGGAGAGGAAGCAATGACTGTTCAAAAACTCTTCAGAGGGGAACGACCCAACTTCTAGAAAAAGACAGATCATACCCCATAAACGTGTTTTCTTAAAATCCAACCATTCTGGCAGAGTGTCCTTAAAACTGCATTTCTTTCTCGTTTAATTCTTTATTTATGACCACTTTCACACATTTTTCTTTTTGAATGTAGGAGCAATTAAGAGTGTGCCTAGCATGTGGCTGTCAGTGGACAGGAGCCACTACTCACTGCTGGCTGGGATCAAAGTGCTGGCTTTCCTTGCCAAAATAATTTGCCTGGACTTACAATACGTACCCAGTTCTTTAAAGGTTTAATACGCACAGAGCACAGACATTAATAAACTGCTTATCTGGAACTACCCTGAAACAGAACAGACCTGGTCTCCCCAGAAGGAAGTGAATAAACTGCTCACTCGGGGGTACAACGTTCAGCTGTGATTGTCCCTTAGGGCCCATGCTCTTGGGGCAGAGAAACCCGGGCATGAGGGGTGCCCCAAGAGTGAGCGATTGAAGTCCTCTTCAGGAAGGAGACTCCAATTTTGTTTGTTTAATCACACATAAAAGCTCTGAGAAACCCACATGGATCCAGAGGGGTTCCATGTAAGCTCACAGAGTAGCAGAAAACCAGCTTATCTGTCCTTTCTCTGGAATCCTCTGCCCAAACCATTTAGAGATGAACGGGTTCTTTTCTGGGAATGACAGCTCTCGTGAAGATGACCTCCATGGATTCCCTAGGTAATCCTGAACCTGTTAGTTTCTGCTTGTTGGTTTTGCATCCGACATTCTCATAACTAAACCAAACTTGGCTTCTGAGCTCTGGGGAACTCCAGAGAGCCAGGGGGGAGGCACGGAAATTCATGATTTGCCAAACACCTGCCCAAGAAGAGTGAGAAAGCAGCTCAGTCTCTGAATCCAGTTAATAATGTATGTGGCAGCCGCCACCTCCCTCTGCCCAGAGTGAGACGTTCCAGAAAGGAGGAATGCATCTCGATTCTATCCATTTGGCTAAGCGCATGCCTTCTGGGCTAAGGCCAGAGAGACAATTCTAGGAGGACTTTATTTTTCTTTCTAGATTTATTTTCCAGGCTGGTTCTGAAAATTAAAAACTACTCTGAAATTGGCTGCTCTTTGGGAAGAAGCTTACCACCCACGGTCACCTGTGTCTCCTGTCACACATTTACCTGGAAAGTCACATGTTTCATTGCTACTGTCCCGTCCAAACTCAGACAAAGACCAGATATTCCGATACCTTTAGCAGAGCTTCGAGGCACACAGTCCCATCTTTACAAGTACTTCCCTATATGCACGAGGGGACTGTGGTTGCCTTTCTTCTGGGTGTGGGTCTCCCTTGCTCCCCATTTCAAAACGAAACCATCCCAGAGCAGAGAAAACCCCTCGTGAGTATTGCACGGCCCAGCGTAAACACCACTGAAATCCTATTCGATCCTTCCAGATCTTTCTCTCATTAAGTATCCGCCTTTGACAAGTACGTTTTACAGATAGTGTATTAACCTTGGCAGAAAAATCACGAAAAGCTGTACCGAAGTCATGAAGTAGAACATAGCTCACTGTAAATAATACATAAGGCTGAAGTAGAAAATGGGATTTGTGTGATTAATGATGGAGCCCAAGACTGTGAGATGCCGTAATCAGGGATCTGTGGCTGAAATCAAAGCTTCCCAAATTCTCCCTTCCCATCTCCACGTCAGTTCCTAGGCTCCCAGGACATGAATGAGCCCCAGATATCGTAAGTGACGGAACTGACCGGAGGGCGATCCGGGGGTCGTGAGTGGCTCCGCAGTGCAGCGTGGCAGTGGTCCCCTTAATCACCACGCGGTCTTCTGGAGGGTTAACGATGGACGTGCGATCTGTGAAGACATAAGTCACAGCTCAGACAAAATTACATGCTCCAGAGTTTCCTCCCTCAGGGGGAGGAGGGGAATGAATTGGTCATCTGACAACAAAACCTCCAAGTTTTCTCTCATCTTGGCAAAGTGAGCGTAAATGGAAGCACTGGGAAACAAGGAATTGAAAGTGAGCCTTCCCAGGCTGCAGCCACGGTCGTCGGGCCTCCCTCCCCATAAGGGCCACTCCTGAACCTCTAAACCCTCCGGGAGACATTGAGAATGACGAGCATGTGCCGAGGTTTATGAGGTTCTGCAGTCTTAGGTGAGAATCTTGGTTCTTTCCCAAGATCATTAACATTCTGGTCATTTCTGCTGTCTGCACAGCACTTCATGACTTTGCAAAGTGCTTTCATTTATATTATTTTACTTAATCTCACAACAACCTTGGGAGGGCTGTGAGAGCACCACTCCCAGGTTTCCGGACTAGAAGGTGTTGCTCTGAGGCATGGTGGCTCGCCCAACACTGGGCACGGGTCAGGGTGGGGCCACAGCCAAGCTCCTAGCAAAAGCCCTCTGCTGGGGGTCCCCCCGGCTGCATCCCTCTGAGGTGAACACAGCTCTGGTCCTACCAGAGCCTGAAATGTGGGAGTCATAAGACGAGGTTGGCCCCTAGCCTGACTACTTGTGGCCGAATGTCCAGGAAAACATGTGAGCTTTACTGTCTGCGGAAGGGGGAGGCAGGCAGCATGAGCGTACCTATTGCTCTAGTGCTGTTAGAATCTGAATCTTAGCAGATCTACAGAACTTTCTGGTGAGTGACCTACAGACATGCAAACATCAACCCTTCACAAGTTGTTAAATATAAGGTTAACATGTTAGGGACACGTGACCAGTCGGAAGTGGGTGGACACAGTGGGCCATGAAATAAGACAAAAATCTTTTTTTTTGGGTACCCGACAATATCGGGGAGGGGTTGAATTCATTCCTTTCTAAAACTCCTGGTGTTTTTAGAATACCCAATAAATCAGTAAGGTCATTGATTAAAGTGCACACAAACTGTATCGGAGAGAGTGAAACAGACATGAAATAAAGCATGGTAATTCAATTTCTCTTTCAGGAAAGTGTTTTAACAAATTCATCACTGATGCAAATTAAAAGTTTTTCTCTTCCTATAGATAAACTTTAAAAAAATCGTGAGCCCTGTCTTTTGATTTTTTGAACAATGATTTTTATTTATTATTATTAATTTTAGTAACATACTTATAGATGAAGCAAAGAGGAAAAAGTACGCCAGCAAGTGAAGCTAAAAGTTTTGGCGGGGTCAGGGCGGGGGTTGATGGTGGACAGAAATACACAGTAATGAATCCTTACGTCTGGAAAATGATCTGTTCTCCATTTCAGAAAACGGTGTTCTCGATAAAGAAACAAAAGTTGGAGAAATAACAAAGATCTTTCTCCAGTTCACTCCTAACATAGAAAACACTCATATTTAATATACTAGGAGTGTTTGAGTTGGTTATAATGATATTATAGAAAAAGCCATACTTTCTCTAAAACGTTAACTCTTGATTCGGTTTCTTTACGCGAAGCTTCCAAAATTAACCGCCCCACAGGTTTTGTCATTTGGGCTCATTTGGGCTAATACCCTCTCTGCCACCGACTGTAAAAAGTCCCTCTTTTCTCTCTCCGGAAACGTTCCCATTAAATATTTGAATACAGTTTCTAATTACGCTTTCAGAAACTGAAAAATTAATTACTCGACAGATTTCTATAAATTAGTTGTAAAAATAATCATTCTCTTATGATTCAATTAGAGAGTCCAAGGGCATATTGACATCCCTAAGCACAGCTGACATGGCGATTAAGCTGTGATTAACAGAAGGTTCCACATGGCCTGTAGTCCTTACTCCAAACGGTTAGGGCTGCGGACGCGTTCAGGGACCCCTCCGTGTTGGCTGCATAGCAGGTGTAGCTGCCGGCATCCTGGAGGAAGACGGGGGCGATCTGCAGACCCCCAGACTCCAGAAGCATGAACCTAGGAATCCGCACGGAGCCACTGGCCAAAATATGTTTTCCTGAAGAAAAGTCGAGAAAGTGGGAGTGTTAACACCAAGACCAAGGAAATGACTTGAAACAATCATGATGAAGTGAAAACTATATGTACAACAGTAATCGAAGCCATTCCCTTTAACATAATTTAGGATAATGGAGACCAAAAAAATCTTAATTGTCAGAAATTGAAAAACTTGGTTAAATAAATTATGAACCATGTATGCGGTCATTATCTCAGGCTGACTGATTCTGAGTTTCCCTTATATCTGTATGCACTTGAAGATTTTCTATGTAAAGCTATCATTACGTTCTGAATTGCGAGAGCAAAGTATGTGTAAGATAGAAGAACGCCCTCTTGCTTGCTGGCCTGGAGCTCCTCAGACGTTCACGTTTGAGCGCCATGGTCTGAGGGTGTGATGAGGCCTTTACGTGAACCCACACGTGTCAGCACATATTTATTAAGGACAGACCATGTATGTGGTTCATTACTGACACACGTGCCTGCAGAAGGAGCTGGAACTAGAGAGCAAGCCCGCGGCATGAAGCCCCTCCTCACAGGGACTGAAAACAGGTGACACCGAGAGCATCATGTGTGTCAAACGAGCCAGAAGCATCTTTCTCTCCCGGTTTCCTATTTCAGTGAAGCTTCATCCCTCCGCAGCCACTCCGCTAAGGGACACCGAGAAGGACCTGGGTGTCACCCAGGCTTTGGTTTCTCTGCCTTTTGTGAACCGAGGTCTCATCGGCTTACGTATCCTATCAGTTTCAGGTGTGCAACCTAGGCACCCTTCTTTCTTACAAGAGCAAGGATATTATTCTTAATTTTTTAACAGAACCTTCGTTTCACAAATGGGGACACTGGGTCCTGGTGGCATGTCTCCGAATCCACTCCCTGGTATTTTGGGGGAACCCCTTCATAAGCCTAAGGAGCCCTATGAGGAGCTGAGGCAGAAAATAGGGATATTCCCATGTTTTAAAACACGGCTGTTTCCTCTCATGGAGGTAAGCTCCATGAAGCTCCCGGGGGCCTTGTCCGTCTGGCTCACTCTGGTGGCCCAGGCGTCTGACGCCGGGCAGGTGCCCCACAGGTGGCTGCCAGTCTTCACTGAAAGAACGAAGGAGGGCGGGAACGAAAACACACATGGCTTGGGCCGATGGGCTCATCCGTGTGTGGGCCAGGCTGCACTGGCGACCTACCTCTCCTCCATGTGATGGCTGGCTTGGGGGCTCCGGACACCTCGCACCTCAGGACGGCCGTCATCCCATCGGTGACCGTGGTGTCCACCGGAAGCTGAGTAAACGCTGGGGCGACATCTAAGCGGGAGCCAACAGGGAGATACTCAGTGTGCTGTCCCCAGACGCGCTCAGACCTGCCTGCCCGGGTAGCCCATATGGGCTTTTATGGGACTAATCACAGAGATAACTGTAGCAATAAAGGAGGAAAACCTTTCAGGAGTGACTATAACCTTCCCTTATTTGTCCCCCAGGAGCTGCCTGTGTTTACAACCTGAAGAGAACCCTAGTCTCATGGCGGAATGGACACGCAAGTGGGCGAGTGCAGGAGCTGGGAGCGGCTGCTTCAGGTGGACGTTAACGAGGGGGACAGTTACTCAGGTAAATCTAACAAGCTCGCGTTTAGTACTTTTGGAAAAATAGAAAAACTGGATTTTTGAATATTAAATATTACCCAAAGGATGACACTTTCACAAAATAACCAGATTTGAAGCACGTCAGTAAGGGATTTCCAGGAAGTGTCGGGGCCCAAGCGCTGGGGGTGTCTTCTTGTCCTTGGGGGTTGGCATGGGCCTCCAGCTCCCGAGAGCCCCCAATCAGACTGAGACGGTGGTGGGTAGCTCAGGCTGGCTTTAGCGAGACTCAGCGACTTTTTCTACTCTGATCTGCATGTCCCCAATCCATAAGGCCCCTGAGGTTCCCAGGACCAGTGGATGAAACTCGGGACCGAAGCACTGCTGCCACCTCTCCTTCTAGCACAAACCACATAAGCCCTGTGGATGCCACCTCCAAAGCAAATCCCAGAGCCCCCTGCTTCCCTCCCTGGCTGGGGCCCCCAAGTCGACAGTATAGTGGCCTCCTCCCGGGTCCTAAGCCTTCCGCTCTTCCCTGCATTGGCCATCCTACACCCGGCCGTCAGTGCCCTGTGGAAGCCATGAAGGATACCCTGCCACTCCCTGCTGAAAGCCGGTAGAATCTTCCCTCGGGCTCCTGGGCCTTCGCCCTGCTTGTCCCTCCAAACTACCTCCTAGCATGACCCCTGGCTCCTCACCAGCCTGCGTCCCCACTGTCTCCTTGCTCCCTGCACACACACCTCTCCAAGCTTGTGTCTGGAAAGCACCTGCAGCCTCCCCCATCCCATGACACCCATGAAACTTTGCACCTTTGGGCCTCAGCTCCGGCAGCATCACAAGGAATGCAACCTGACCACCCTCAGAGAGGCCTCCCTGGTCACCCCGGGCCCTGCCTGTCCGCTCGTTTCCCAGCCCTCATCCCTGGCTAAATTACCCCTCCTCTGCCGTCTGTCTCCCCGCTTCCTGACCTCTGTCTTGGAGGCGTGAGAACCTCGCATGTCTTCCTCGGAGCTCTGTCCCCAAGCCCGACAGACCCAGTGCCTGACATAGATGCTGTGTAAATGTTTGTTAAATGCATGAATTAATATAACACTGTGTTAACTATACTGGAATTAAAATAAATTAGGAAAAAAAAGTATGCTCATCTGTGCCCCATAGCTGCCCGGCCGACTTGTAAGATAGACTTTAAATAATTCTAATTGAGTGAAACTCAGTTTCTGGCATAAGTACCCAATATTATTGCCATCATTTGTAGTGATACTGGTTTCCTATGCTCTAAACCAGAGACTAAATCTGACCCCTGGACAAGGCTCAAGGTAATGACCCCTACTTTACCAAAACACACACACAGAATCCTTAAACTCCTAAGTTCAGGCAAACGAGAGCCATCTGCATACGGACACGATTTGCTTCCTCAAGCGGCTCTCACACCTGAGGATATCAGCATTTGGCTTCCAAAAGGTATAATTCCATAACCATTAAATACGACTTCATTTTAGAAGAACAATATTACAACGGTGGGGCTGAAAAAGGAAACCCACAGATACAGTGAAAACCTATACCTTCGTTTTAGTTTTCAAAGACAGGGTGCCAAAGTATTTCTGCTAATGGGGTAATAAAAGAAACTTACAGAAGAACTATAATTGTTCAATAAAACTAAAATAGAATGTGAATATTAAAAAATGGGAAAAAGATCAAAAGAAAAAGATTAGGAATGAGCTATTCACTGAACAGTCCTTCCAGTTCAGTCCAGAAAAGTGGAGATACTTGTCCTCTCACTTCTCAGCAGAGAGGAGAGCACGAGACTCTCCTGAGAGCAGGTCAGGCGGCGGGGCGTAGGGACAATGGGGAGTATTTGCTGCCTGGGGGCTTAGCACGTGGGCTTTTGTGGGCCGGAGAGGTGGCCCTCCACAGTGGGTCACTGCTGGCCCCCACACCCTGTCCGTTTGCAGAACAGATGCTATGGTTTTCCGAGTGGGGAGCTGTGGCTGAGGGCCCAGCGCAGGGAGTCTGGCTGTGGGGGGGCAGGACTCACTGGTGACGTCCAGGTAGGTATAGGTCTGGATCTCCCCTCCTTCATTACTGGCAAAGCACTGGAAGCTCCCCGAGTCCTCGGGACGCAGCTTTTGGATGCGCAGGCCTCCGCTTGATAGCATCTTGTACCGGGGATCCTGGAGCTTGCCGATGGACGTGGCATCCTTGTACCACTGGAGGGTGGGAAGAGGGACCCCTGCGCAGGAGTGGAAATAATTGGGCATTTGAAAGAACTCAATTGCAAGCACTTTACATGAGGGCTGAGGAGAACATGTTTCAGACGTTACAAGGTGATAGTCTGGCGGCATGTTTCGTCTAGAGTCCCTTTCTCTGCCTTGCACAGTGTTATGTGCAGAGAAATGGACACAGAGAAGCAGCAAGAGGAAGTGCAGTAATGAACTCCAGATCTGCTGGGCTGCAGATCGTTCTGGACCCCCTGAGCCGGTCCAGGTTTGTGCTCTGGTCTGGAGAGAGAGGGATTCCAGCTGTGACCATGACTGTCCTGGGAACAGACAGGGATCAGGAAGAAGGCCCCTGCTGCCCTGCAGCGCCTGCCTCTGCCACTCGAGGCTCAGGGAAGGGCCGCCAGGACCGGAGACACATTTGGAAGGAAGTGGTCACTGCAACCTTGAAATGCTGCTGGAAGATTAACCCCATCAGTGCACGCAGATGTCCCCAGTGCCTGGCACACGGCCAAAGCTCAGTGGCTAGAATGACTCTGATTAGGACTAACCATAAGAAGAAGGCATCCCATCTTTTCAGCCGTCTCCTGCTGAGGGGGCTGGACATCACCGATCTAAGCGGACGTCCATGGCAGTGGAGGATGGCAGAGGTAAATCACACGAGGTGCTTGTGGGAGGAGGCTAAGGGGTCCTGAGGGGCATTTAGCTGTGGATGTGGGAAAAGCTGCCTTGGCTCCCAGATAAATATGAGTCCAGCAGGTAACAAGGAGGGGTCAAAGGATGGTGCCACCCCTGTCCCTAGGAGACAAAGGCACTCGGAGCAAGGCCAGCACTTGGAGCAGGAGGATGGAGGGTCAGACTGAGGCTGGCTGTGCCTTCCTCATCTCATTCCTCATATTAATGATGTTACAGTGAAAATTCAGGCCTCGGTCAGTGAGACCAGAGCCCTGCACCACCCAGCTGGCCCAGTGGATGGCGGTGGGGAGGCTGGGTTTGGGAGGGAAGATGCAGGGGACAAAGGGTAGGCTCACAGGGGCGGAACCTGGGTTGTGAATGAAGGGACTCTGCTCAGCCTGAAAGCATGAGGACCTCTGTTGCTCCGCCCTGACAAGGCCATGCTCAGTGTGTGGAGCCCAGGGCATGACGAGGCGTGCGCTAGTCCCCGGTGCCTTACTGCCTGGGATGACCTCTGACCTGGGAGACGCCAGGCTCCTTCCCTGGGCAGCTTCCCCGGAAGCTTGTGTGACTAGTGGTAGGGGACACTGCCACCTGGGTGTGTCTCTGACCTCCTAAGCCACCTATGCCAACTGGGTAGACATGACAGGCTGTGCACAGACACTCCGCCAAAACACATGCGCCAACGTGGTCCTGAGCATGGCGGGTGCATGTATGTTTGCTGTGGGCCCATGGGAAGCGCGCAGGAATGTCTAGGCTGGTTCTTTACCTCGGTTTCCCTACCTATGAAATTAATTTAAATAAAACCCATCTTGGCAGGATTCACAGTGAAAAGCACACCCAAATCCCTTGATTTCAGATGCCATGTAGGTGTAAGATATCTTCTTTAATAAATAAAGTTAATGTCATGGAATATTTCAAGATAATGTATTCTCAGATTCTGTTCTTTGCCTTAATTATGTTTCCTGTCACTTTTCCTTAAATTAGGAAATTAAAAAAATCCATTTCAAGGTAAAAGCATAACCAATTCATGTAAAATCTCCTAAGAGCAATTACATGATCAAGCTTTCATGAAGAGTAACCACTTCGCATGCTGCTGTAGTCTCATTGTCAAAATTTTAAAAAAGCAGTAAATTATCTGATGGCAGCGTTGAAAGACCTGCTCAGTATACATGTACACGTCTGTATTTACCAAGCAGTTTACCCTGTAGAAATCATGCAAAAAAGAGCATTCTCTTGTCAAGGGAAGGGCTTAAGACTGTCATTTATTGAAAAATAATTGTTAGTATATGGGGAACCGGGAGTCTTTCTGTTTTGGGGTGATTTAGGGTCATAAACAGAAATCTTATCCCCAGCAGTGCTGCAGATTCTGGTTTCTAAAGTCTGAGCACTCAAAATACAGTGGCGTTCCACTTCTAGAGCACCGCTGACCTTGGAAAACAGTGTTTATGCCAGGAAGAGAGCAGTGCGACCCACCACGAGGGGGACATTTCCATGTAAAGGTCACATCACTCTCCCCCTACCCATCCCCAGGATCCTGAACAGAGGATGGTCGCAGAGCAGATGTGCCAACAGTGCCCCCGTGACCTGCCCAGGGGCTGGGGACTAAGTCCTCCAGGACATAGGCTCCAAGTGGAAGCACAGTGGGTAGATGAGGGTGGCCTGTGGCAGACCCCGATCTCTGCAGGAGCCAGGAGCCATCAACACTGCTCAGAGCACACCCCACTGCCTTTCAGAGATGGGCAATGACATGTCCGTACGCGTGGACTGCTGGCATGAGTTCTAGGCCCAAACCTCAGCTCTCTGGGAGAAGCCAGGTGCCCCAGCCAAAGCCCTTGCTTTGGGAGCTGATGGGTCTGGGTTTCATTCCTGTCTCCATTGCCATAAGACCTCTGGCAGGTTGTCTAATCTTTAATGAGCAGCTCCTATATGCCAGATGCTGGGCTGGGATTTCAGAGGTATATCTCATCTCCTCTCCCTGGTTCTGTGCCTTGAGCACATTACTTAACCTCACTTTCTAAGGTCTTGTTTTTGTATGTGTACTCTGAGAAAATAATATCTCTTTTATGGAGCTGTTTTGGATATTTACAAAATTGCTAATCCTTACCCTCCAAGCTCTTAGAATGAAATCCCCACCCTTAAGATGGACAAGTTTAAACATAACAAAAAAAAAAAAAAAAAAGTCTTTTCACTGACAGTGTCTAGTGCACTAACATAGCCTTTGTTAATGAAATTGCCTTTAAAAAGCCTGTCTCTAGGAGGGGGGTTCGTATAATTGTTGATGCTGCCTGACGGTGGACAGCTTGTCACCAAGACAGGGGGTGAGGGGTGAGATTACTAGAGTAACAAAGAAAAAGTCAACCCGAAGCAGAAAAAAGAGAAAAAGAAAAAGAAAAGGAAAAAGAAAAAAAGGAAGGCTTCCTGTTCAAAGACTTTAGAACCACCTCTCCTACTGCAGAGCACACGTCGTCACCAGTGCCCGTCGCCCCACAGACAGAAGAGCACCTCCTGCTCCAGGCCTTGGGGAGTCATGGTCTTGTGGAACCAGAGTGTTTGAAAGGAGTTGAGAGGACAAGGCTGTCCATCTCCGTGGGGACAGATGGGGTGAAGTTCTTCTTCTTGTTCCCTTGGGTCAATATTCTTATCTCCGCTCTGCAGGTGAGGAAGCAACCGCTCAGCTAGGTCGAGGTCACCTTCCTCAAGGTCACATGCCCAGTTACTGAGTTCTGCCAGGATCCAAAGGCCCTGTCACTAACATCACACTCAATGTGTATCCCGACAGTGATGAAAGTGCCCTTCAGTCCCCCTGCCTCACAGCAGCCCGTGGAGTAGCCGCCCCACACTCACCCATGGCTCGACACACGATGTCCACGGTATCTTCCACTTCCGCTAAAATCCGACTCTCGGGCTCAGCAGTAAAATACGGTGGCTCTTTAAACAAGAAAGAAACAAAATAGCCCCTAAGCAGAAGAGGTGTATTTCGGGATAACTGTCTGGCCTCAAAGAGCTCAAACCCCTTTTAAAAACTATTTCTGGAAAGTTCTTTCGCCACCATCGTACACGCGAACTCAGAACTCAGTGAGCGGAGGCCAAAGGCAGTTTATCCTAAGGTTTCAGAAAGCAAATTACTACTCAGGGTGATGGCTACTTTCCTGTTTATGGGCTTGAATCATGGAATATCTTAATTCACATTTTAGAAGGACTGTCCCGAGAGGTTCATAAAGGTTTATATTTACAGCACAGTGTTTTATAGGCTAGTTTGTTTCCATATCCAAACCAAACCCCGACACACGCAGCATGTCCAATAAAACGTCACAGCCGGGCATGGGCCTGTGTCAGGGGACCGGGCGGCCCATTAACGTATTTTTTAAAGTCTTAGTCGTTCTTCTTCTCCAAAATATAGATTTACTACTTCAATGGAAGGCTAAATAATGGCAAAGAGAAGAAAGAAAAAGGGCCTCTCATCCATCTTCAGGAGCAGAGGAAACTCCATGGCTTGTGTCTCTCCAGCTACTCCCCTCGCCCATTGAACAGAACAGTGGCAGGTGTATTCACAGTGACTCTCTCCTTGGAGAGTGAACTGCAACACTCTTTTCAGTTTTCTCAGCAGAACTTCAACAGTGGCATGGCCAGATTCAGCCAGTGTGAAGGTGCCAGCGATTTCATTTGTGATAACAAAGCTGCTGAATTCCCTTTCTGTGTGATAATTAGTCTCTGGGCACTGTCTTCCTGGGTGGCTGACTGCCACTGTCATTGTGTGGGGAGTGGGTGGCATGGCTTGGTATGGCTCCTGCACTGCCTGGGTCTTTAAGACAGGGTGGGACCCACAAGAGGGAAAGGAGACATGAACACTTAAGAAAAGGCTGAAGGTTTCTCCGTGGGGATGGGAGTCTGGGAACCCCTCTGCGATGAGCCGGGTCACTCGGGCACATGCCATCTGCCTGAGGAATGGGCTGCCCCCTCGCCAGGTGGACACGGAGTCCTCGACTAGGTTCTGGGTGTGTGTAGACCAGGCTTTGGAAAGAAAAACCACGAAGATTCACAGTCTCTTTTCAAGCTGGTCTTCCCTGCACACCCACATGTTCACATTCAGCCGCTTTCCCTTCATCAATAATCATGACAGCAGTGAAATTTATATTCTGACCATCCCAGAGCTGCGTCCTGTCGCGGCCGTCATGTGCAGGTCATGCCCCATATTCATCAGTGAATGGGAACGTCGATATCTACCTCCATGGTCTGATGAAAGGGACATAAGTGAAAAGGAAAAAAAAAAAAAAAGACCAAGTGACAGAGTCAACATTTGTCCGTGATTAATTATGGTTCTCCTTTTTTAAATTAAACATTTTATTTTGAGATAATTAGAGAGTCCCACGCAGTTGTAAGAAATAATAGAGATCCCAGGCTTCCTTCAGTTTCCCCCAACGGTGACACCTTGCACAACTGCAGTCCAACATCACACCCGAGATACTGACCTACCCTACTCTCACCTCCGCCGTCTGCCTTGTGTGCGTGTGTGTGTGTGCAAGCACATGTGTGGGCTTAGCCCTAGGCGACATAATCAGCGAGGGCATGTGGACCCATAGTCTAGAGGCAGAATGGGCCTGTCCCCCAAGGGTCCCACATGCTGCCCTTGCAGGACCCTGGCCACCCCAATGTCCTTTCCCTCACTGCTGGCAGCCATTCCTCTGGTCTCCACCTGTAATTCTGTCCCGATTCCTGAATGGTACAGGAATGGAATCACACCACGTGTAACCTTCAGAAATGGCATTTTTCACTTTGCTCAAGTCCCGTGGGATTCATCCCAGAGGAAGCACACTTTGATAACAGACACATGCATATAGAAATGTTCAACATCTACAGGACCAGATGGCTACCTCGAGGCACTGGGTGCGACGGCCAGTGTCCGGTGCTGCTTCTCCTCCCTCTGCGATGCCACCCAGCTTTCCCCCCGGGGCCAGGGGAGGACCAAGCATGGGGTCAGAGACAGGGGGTGCTCATTGCATGTGGCCCAAAGCTGGCTCGAGCTGAGCAGCGGCACGGCTCCAGGGCTGGGGTGCATCAGAGGCCTGGTCAAGGCCACTGGCCTGCGAACACTGCCATCCCCCCCCACCCCCCTGCAGACAGTTACTGTGGGAACTGGCACTAATTCACCCACCCCACGCACTCGGCAGCCTGGGCACAGTCCGGAAGGGTGTCCTGCCAGTGCATGCCAAGGGCTCTCTCTCTCCCCTGGAGCCAATAACCAGGGAGGCTTGCATGGCTGACAACTAGGAAGGCCAGGAATGGCCTGGGCCGAGCAGGTTTGTTCATTTACTGATACTCCGGCCTTGTTCCTGAAACTTCTCCAGGAGACTGAACAAAGCAGCGCGGGCGCGCAGCTGTGAAGACCCGGAAAGGCCCTGTAGCTTCTGACGGTAATTGTATTTCTTTCCCCACCATATGTGTGCCGTTTCGCTCGGGGCTGACCCTTCCTGTCGACAGAATTCAACAGGTGCTCAGAAGAGACCTCTTCTCTTGATCCCCAGCTACTTTTACACGTAGTCAGCTCAAAGGACAAGAGTGGGAGCACACGAGGCGCGTCCACAATGCAAGGACTGTGGGCTGAACTGGGAGCTGGTCGTCAACTAGTATGGACTCCCGCAACCACCTAACCTCTAAGGGGCAAGTGCGTGTCTTAGCTAATTGGCAGCCACCGTTTCTAGAAAGGGCACACTGCCAACACCGGTGCACATCAGACTTCTAAAAATGTAACCCACGTACAGCCGGTAAGTAAAGCTAGTGATTGCAATGAACACTTTTCTCTCTCTTGAAACAATGTGAAGACATCAGGAAAACGTTCCCATCCCTGTTCAGAAACAGCCAGCCACGCTGATCATCCTCCACTGGCCCTGTCTCAGAACGGGAGGTGGGATGCCTCCCAGGCAGCCTAAGGGCAAGGCCTCTATTGAATTCCCCACCTTCCAAAATGCCAGGGCCATACAGCACTCACCCTGGCCTCATGGAGGCAGCTACGGCGGATGGCCCGTGCATCCCAAGGATTCCTCGTGCTCTCCTGCCAAAGCCCCCACAGCTGAGTGGCAGGGCCTGTCGTGAGTAGGGCTTACCATGAGACCCGAGGATGTTCCCTGTTCTGTCTTTCCTTCTGCTCCAGAATGACCATCTCATGCCAGGAAATGTCCTTGACTTGCCACCATCATCCACACATGGTGTCTCTGTCCACTGTGGTGGGAAGAATGGCCCCGAGGTGTCCAGCCCCTAGTCACTGGGACCTGCGAGCACATCATGCTACATGGCAAGATGGCCTCTGCCAGTGTGGTTAAGGCTGTCAATCTTGAAACGAAGAGCTGACCTTGGATCAGCTGGGTGGGCCCAGTCTTATCACTGGAGCCCCCAAAAGCAGTGGCCTCCCTGCTGCTAGAAGGGGAGATGAAGAAGGGAGTTCAGAGTCCTGCAGCACGAAAAGTCCTGGCTTGTTGGAGAACAAGGTGGAGAAGAAGGTGGCTAAGCCAGGGGGAGCAGGGGGTCCTCTGGGACCCCAACCAACAACAGAAACAAGGTGAGGACCTCAGTCTTACAACCCTGTGCACCGGCTTCTCCCCACCCCGAGTGAGCCAGGAAGTGGCTTCTCCCCAAGAGCCCCCAGAAAAGAGCCCAGACCCATCGAAGGCTCGATGATGGCCCATGAGACCACCAGGAGAGGAAGTGGTTGAGCCTGTCCCCTGGGACTGTGGGGCCTGAGCAGCCCCCACACTCTGGCTCCCACACAAGAGATACTTGTATTGTTGGCAAGTCCTAAGTCGGTCTTCAAGATCAGCCCTAGTGCCAGTCTTCTGGAAAGTTTTCCCCAACCTCCTCAGGTAGGGTGCCCCCTCCACCTGGGACCTTCTTTGGAGAAGAACTGTGTCCTCCTCATCTCTACACTGGTAGTGCCTGGCACAGCTTATGAGGAAACACTTAAATACCATCCGCTGGAAGGAGAGATACAGGAGATCACCGAAGACCTTACAAACTTGAAGTCCTTCTAGGGAACAGGTGTGTCCCATTCCAGCTCTGCAAAGCCTCCTTCGTCTTCTGCCCACACTGGCCCTTCGGCAGGGTCCTACATACACCATGTGCTCCACAAATGGTTGGCAGAGTAGCAAGGAGGGCAGAGATGGCCAGGGAGCCGGGAAGGACTGACAGTATGTGAAGAGCACACTTGTGGCTCCCTGCCCGCTGAACCCCACTCCATCCCGAGGTATTATAGCTGGCCTGCCCATCCTGCATTTAGAGCAAATGACCCAAGCGCCACTGGGCTTTGCTTCATACAAGTTTCTCTCTTGTTTTAGAAACAGTTCTGTAACAGCTCTATTTTCTGAACTTCACTCGGTAATGTTCAGCTATACAGGTAAGTTCCAGCTGTCACAGGGCACCGATGATTAATGGGGGTGCTTCTAACGTAGGCTGTATGTAGAGCCAGAAAGAAGACATCTTGAGTTTATCCTAAACCAGGGCAGGTGGGGTGCAAGGCCCGCCGCAGGTTTCTGGCCTGGCCTTATGCCAAGAGGGCCTCTGAGCTCCGCACCTGCTGCGTGAGCTCAGGCGCCCCTTCCTGCTGTGCGCGCTTGCTGTGCTGAGTCATCCCTGCCTCGTGCACGCCTGCCTTCCACACCAGACTCCTGCATGCCGGGGCCAAGGCCCCCTTTCGCCACATTGTCACCAATGCCCAGAGCAGTGTCCGAGATGCAGACTCAAGAAATGTTAAGTGGGGGGAAGGAAGGAAACTGTGAGGGAGGAGGCATTTTCTGTTAGGATTCAGACAGTGAAGAGTGGTTTGGTCTCAGCTCTAGAGAACCTTCCAGCACAGTTGTAACTCCTTGATTGTGGCCTGTATCAGCCTGTCGATGGTACAAGTAATCTGGGATTCTAATGATACGATTTTGGCATTCCTGAATGATCCATGTCTACAAACACCAGACCAGCCTGAGAGGCACAGAGATGGCTCTGGACAGCAGCCACTCACGCTGATACGTGTCTGAAGGCAGGGACACAGACACTCACGGACACAGGGTAAGCACGTGAACGGCAGTGACAGGAGACGGTATCGGTCCGTCAGTCTGGAAAGGAAGATGTAGACGCTGTCTCACTGAATCTGAGACTTTGCAGCTATATTTACCCTCAGGAAAGAAAAAATGCTTCCAGGGATCCTGAGACACACCCTGACTTCAGGGACAGCTAAGGTGAAAAGTGCATGTCACGTGACCATCGGTAAAGAGCTGAAACAATGCCACAGGTGGGATAACAGCCCTCTGCCCACACCTCATCACGCTGCCATCCCCCTGCCTCTGTGACCAGCACTACCTTTACTGCTCACGGTATGAACCCCGATCGTTTCCTACCTCGTCTACAGCTCACACATGTGGAAACTGAGGCCAGCAGAGGCAAAGGGACTTGTTCGAGCCCATGAGTGGTGCCTAGAGGGTCTGAACCCAGGTCTGTCCCCACAGCCCAGCCCAGTGGCCCACGGTTTGTCGGGGAGGTGATGGAAACACCACCAGAAGAGGCAGGTCAGCTGCAAGGAGCACATGACCAAGTGAGCTCATCTACTGGGGGCACTGGAAGCCAGGACCTCCAGATCACACCCCTGTCGCAGGGGGGCGGGAGCTCAGCTGTCTGTCCACTGTCCATCAGACCCCACACTTCCAACCTGCCGCATGGCGGGCGCCACGGCTCCAGTGGCCCAGGAAGGCCATGAGGGAGGAACGGTGGTGCAAGTAGTTGAAGCAGGGAGACTGGGGGCTGTGTGGGCAGGCCATGGCATCGGCCTCAGCATGTGGGGTGTGGGGAGGCTCTCGGGGAGCATGTGGAGGGCAGGGCGGGAGAAAGAGCTGAGGAGCAGCAATGGGCTGGAGCAGAGGTCCCCCTGGAGGCCAGTGCTCCCTGTCACATAGACGGCCACCAGGACTTGCAGCAGGTGGGACGCAGCCCGCATTCCTGTATAAACCTCAGAAATCAGGCAATACGCTGTTGAAGTTGACAGGCAGAGGAAACAACTGTGTCTTGTTTCGTCAGCCGTGATGGAAGCCCCTGAAAGCCAGCGCGTTTCCACCTTCCTGCACCGGCCTGCTTCCGGGACAGCTCCCTGCCGGGCCCCACGGCGCCCCTGGGAACCTCCTCCCAGCACACCGCGCCTGGGGCCACCATCTCCCAACCAATCCGGATTCATAGTGGCCATCCTCAGGGCTTCCCCGGGACGACTCCTGCACAGAATCCTCCCTGCCATCGCAAATTCTTATAAATAAAAGAGAATGTAAATCAACATCCTAAAGACGCTGAGTTGTGTCCCTTTCAAAGCCTGAATACAGAGCGGCACACAGCCTGCTTTGGAATTCACTTGTCAATGCGAAACCAAAGTTCATAGGATAGATTTAAATATTTCTAAAGGGAATTATGATGGAAACAAACATTCCAGTTCACAGGAAGTAAATTTCTTCTCTTGTTTGAATCACCTTAAGATGTTTTAACACAATACAGTCCTGTCTCCCGGAGACAGACACGTGCCGAATGTTAATTTGGTTCCATCTATAACGTGCTATGCTCACAGGAGGCAGAGGATGTCATCGTGGGGCACAGGCCTGCAGTGTTTCCCTCCGTCGGGAGCACAGGAGGAGAGGCAGCAGGACAAGCAGCTCAGTCCCCTAGTGCGGAGTCTGCAGTGACATGCGACTCGAGGTCTGCCTTCCTGATGCTTTAAAAGTCTTTACGCTCCATTTGGAGGGACGGATGGGTTTGCGTGTATTTGGCTGGGTCGTTTCCAGGCCACGGAGCCATTTCTTCATGATCGAAAAAGGAGTGTGACCCACTCAAGGCAAACTGCCTTTTACTCGGCATTTCCTGATACCCTTGCTAATTTCACAGGAGAACACAGCTTGTCTTCTTTCTTAGTCAACAAAGTGGCAAGCTGTGACACAAGTCCTGTGAGGAGCCGCAGCGCTCCCCAGGGCTCTGCTGACCTGACCTTTCTCGTTCTCATTCCCTTCTTCCGGAAAGAGAGAAGAGGCAGAGATTCTCCTCCCTGGCGTCGCCTCGGCCCCTCCTACCTGCAGCAGCCACTATCCTGCTGGACGGGTCACGGTGAGAGTGACCACAGCCACTAAGGGAACTAAAAGTATTACAGGAGCCGAAGAAACGCGAGAAACAAAGGCACTGTCCTCACAATGTATGGCGATCTTACCATAATCCGCAAATACCCTGAGGATTTCCTTGGCCACGGAACAACGCCCACTCCCTGAACACTGACACTTTCTAGCATCCACAGCGACTCCCAGGTGCTGAATTTTATCTTGCTCTCTTTGGCTCAGGAGTGGCCCTTAGCGCACGTCCTAAGAAGCAGCTCTGTTCTCCCCTTTTCACTTAACAGAAGATAATATCCCAAAGCTTCTTTTTTTCTGGGTCAAAAAATACCAATGATGGGATAATCTCTGAAAACTGACCATAAACGCCCAGTAAGGGCTACAGAGAAGCTTCATGCTGGAGAGGCCAATGCCAGAAGGTGACATATGTGACAAGGACCTCACCACACCACTTCTCGAGCTTTGTGGTCAGAAGGATCCAGAATCACATTTCTTAGAAGTACTCAGAACGTGAGCGCTTTGGGTTCAGCGGGCTCATGTTCTTGGAGAAAGAAGAGCAGGGTGACTCTGGAAGGTAGCCTCCGTGTCACCCTCCTTCTCTGAGTTAGAAAGGGAGCCGGCCAGAGACGGCTGTTTCCGGGCCGCTCCACGAGGGGCCGCGCACCTCCGAGCCCCGCGTTACCTATGATAGCCAGAAAGGCTTGCGCTGTGGCTGCGTTGAACATGCGTCCTCTCAGTGTCGCCTCACAGACGTACATCCCGGTGTCGGCGGACGTCGGGTTGCTGATGATGAGGCGTCTCCCATGGCTGTGGAGTCCCCCGGCGACCCTCACCCCGTTCCTCTTCCAGGTCACGTGCAGCTCCTCGACAGGCCTGGGAGGGCGCAGGGCATGATTGACAACAACGGTGAATCACGTATGTGGCAATAATCGTAATTTCAGGCATTCAGCACAAGCCTGACAAAGCTAATTCTACCAGGAACCATGGCGGGTTGAACAATGGACATTTTAAAAATCAATCCAGGTGTGGCCCCACTCCCTCACGGTGCGCACCGACAATACATTCTGCTCAAGGGCTATTGAGCAAGGATAGCTAATTGCGGCAGCGATGGACCATAAGTGCTAATGATTCCATTTGCTCAGGAAAAGAATGTTTAAAACAAATACTGTTAGGGGACGTGGCTACATGGGAGGCATGATCATGGGAACCAAATTCTGGAGCCACCGCTGATGAGGCCGAGAACACCGAGCCCTACCGAGGAGAAAGGTGCCTCTTTCCTGTGCACCCACGGAGGCCGTCCACCAGCACCTCGGTACGTTCAGGGCAAGCACTGCAGTCCCAGGCTTGGGAAGTCGGGCCCTATTTTCCCAGGTGTGTCGTGTGTGTAGCCCAGCTGGACAAACGAGACCAGCATGACTGCTAGAATAGCAAGCACACGCGTGATGTGGCTTTCCACTGAAGGGCCATCTCATCAGTTACAAGGATTCGTACCACCAGGGTGGGACCCGCTGCATACCTGGCATTGGCGATGCATTCCAAGGTGGTCTCACTGGACCCGGCCACCACACTTCTGTTGCCAGGGGGAATCACAATGACGGGCGCCATGGTTTCGGGGGTGCCAACCTCTCCTGTGGCAGAGAAAGCAAAACTTCATGGGACTCTCCTAAGCATGGAAGATGTCAAGACTGGAACATAACACATGGGGGAGTCTTGTCAAGCCACTCTGATGGGACACCTGAATGTCACGACCCCGCTCCGACCCCTGGAGGGGAGCCCTTGGGCGTGGTCGTTGTCACTGGCCTTCATCAGATGGCAGGATCCCAGGGTGGAATCCACAGCCAGTAAGTGAACATTATGGCTGGGAGTCAAGGGACTCCACCTGCGTATCGTGGGGGTAAGTGCTTTCGAGTGTTGAGCGTTTTCCAAAATGTTTGCTGACTTTATTTTTTTATTGCCTTAAGACTTCACTGGTTGAGTTACCTAGTCCGCCCACTCATTTCAAGTCTGCCCAGTTCCACAAATATTCCATGTGGCGGGCGCTCTGCCGGGCACGTGTGCAGTTAGAATGGGGCTGGCATTCTCACTCGGGCGCAAATGTGGCTCCCCAGAGCAAACGCATTCAATCAGCAAAGTGTTCTGTTCTGTCCGTGTACTTTCAATCCCTTTTTCTTCTCTGAAAAGTAAATATCCTGAATCCACCTCTGTTTTGTGAGTATCAAACTATAAATAATTTAGCTTGTACTTCTGGTGACAAAGGAGAAAAAAGTATGACACGTCTTTGCCACTTTTCTCTAAAATACATGTAATATCAAAATTAAACTACCCACAGTACACTTTACTGCTGTTTATTTAGGGGAAATGAAGACAGATCAAACATTTTTAGAGTGGGGATTTTGACAGGGGGTATAGAAGGCAGAGACTGGAAATAAAAATAAATTTAGATTCTGCAAATGTGAAATGCTTCATCTGGTACCTGACACTAGAGAGCTGGGCCCCCATCCCAGCGCCGGGGACAGCTGTGGCTGTGAGGCCCTCGAGTGCCCACCACCCAGCACGGCAGGGAAAATGAGGACTGGCCTTGTCTGTGCTCTGCCTCTACTGCTTAAGCAGGATGTGATTTAAAGGTCCATGTGAGGGGCACCTGGGTGGCTCAGTGGGTTAAGCCCCTGTCTTTGGCTCAGGTCATGATCTCAGGGTCCTGGGATCAAGCCCCACATTGGGCTCTCTGCTGAGCAGGGAGCCTGTTTCCCCATCTTTCTCTGCCTGCCTCTCTGCCTACTTGTGATCTCTGTCTGTCGAATAAATAAATAAAATCTTTAAAAAAAAAAAAAGGAAAAATTAAAGGTCCATGTGAATCACAAAAAAAAAAAAAAAAAAAGCTTGAGGTGCACGGAGTCACCATATTAATTTTTAGCCTATATGTTGATGACGTTGATGGAAACCGGTTTCCACGAGTGCCAGGGGAGGCGTCAAGCCCTTCCCAGCCCCTCTGCTCCCAAAGCTAGCCCGGAAAGGCCTCTGTAAGCGCCTCCTGTGGACGCTCTCTGCTCAGAATATTGCAGAGGCCGCTGGGCTGCTTATCGGATTCCTGGGGAGATGCCTGAGCACTGACACTTTCATGATGGGGCAAAGGACAGAACCTGACTGCCAATCAGATTAACAACCTGCCTGTCATCTGTGAAAGTTGCTGATGAGAAGAAATGACCTGAGAAGCTAATATTTGCAAATAGTTAATGCGAAGTGAAGGAGAGCAGCAGCGAAGGCTAAAAGGTCACTGAGCGAGGTGCTAATTTGGCATTAATCACCACTCAGCCACAGTGGCAGCAGAGGAAACCTATGCTCAGCACTTGTCACAGCCTGGAGAGGACAGGCCCCCAGCTGGTGGGCCTCGACGGCTCCCTGACCCCGGGACACTGTGCACGTGTGACACCAGGAAGCGCCAAGGTACAGCCCCTTGAGGGCGGGGCGAGTGGGACAGAGCAGCGCCACCCTGTCCAGGGTTCCGGCCACACTGACAGACGGAGCAGCAGGCGGTATTTCTGTAACTCACTGTCACACGTGCTGACATGTGCCAGGTGCCTTGCCTGCGGGGTCGGCTGGACAAGTCCAGTGACTCCTTGGATTTGATTTGGGGCACAGGACACTTTTGGAGAAGCAGGGGTAAGAGGTGCAGATTAAACTGTGATCGTTCCTCACGGGAGCATTTGTGATCCGGGGGTGAGGTGACCTTGACTCCTGGGAGCCGCCACAGCAAGATCAAAGCCGCGCTTCTGCTGCTGAAACTGCTGTCACGATATTTCAGTGCCATTTTACCCAAGCACCTAGAGTGCACATCTCCCAACTGCAGGGGTGGTGCTCATGACAGCACAGGACGCTGAGCACTCCTTTCTTTTGAAACACTGATACTTCAATTGAATCTGCAGGGGCACATGGATGACTCCCATGTGACCACTAGGCTAGTGAACTGGGAATTTCGGTCACGTGGGAGACTATTATTCTGCAGAGACCCTGGATCCCAGTGTGCAGAGATTGTCCCTCTGGGCCATTTGTCCTTGGTGGAGAAGAACCTTCCCTATGTGTCTGTCTGCCCTGTTTAGCCGCTGACTACTCTGCATACAGTAGCTGGGCAGGAAGTAGATTGTTCCAGAGACAAACTATTACGTCTTCCCTCTGTGTCCGGCTCTAGTCCGCCATCAGCCCCGCCGTGGCCCAACACACTTCAGGCGTCCCCAGGCCACTACCGTCGCCCCCGCGGGGCCCATTCTGCCGTCTGAGAGCATTTCTCCAGAAACTGGTTTCACCTCCCATCTGTGAATCGTTTCTGTCACTTTCTTTTTGTCATTGTGCTCCTCAGTCTCTTCTTCCTTTACTGCTTTTTAGAGGGTTTTTACTTCTTTTTTAAGTGAGAGGTGGTAATAGAGGTGCTTTATCTGCCATTCTGAACCTGCCATGCTGACTTATCTACCAGGTTCTTTTCCCTCACATTCAATTTTTAGAAGAGAGATGCAAAGAAGAATACCCAGGCATTTCAAAAAGAATAAAACGACCTCTTTATTTCTGCTATTCCACAGTGTCTGAGATACAAAAGCACTCAAAATCCTTAATGATCGGTTATTTTTTCTAAGTGTTCCACAATAATGAGTCACTATACTTCCACCAGGAATAGTACCCTCTCCTTCAATGCTCTATATTAACACAAGATTTTTTAAATGCTATATGCCAATGTATTAAGAATTATTCCTAAAAAGAAGGCACTTTACCAAGCCTCCTGTGTAGCCAGCAAGCCTATTGCTAAATGACTTGCAAATGTTTCCCCCATTTAATCTAATGCCAAGACAATAAGAGACCTATTACTGCCCCCCTTTTACAGCCGAGAAAACTGAGGCCCACAGTCACGTGACTTCGAATGTCAGAGAAAGGGCTTAAATAAAGGACCGTCTCCACCCAAATTTGTCAACTTCCTTTCACATAATGCCGTCCGCTCCTGGTAAAAACTCTGGTGGTGCTCAGTTAACCAAAAATTAAATTAACTAGAACGCTCCTTCCCCCAAGCATTTCCTTAATGGAGACTTTACCGTCATTTTCCACCTGAACAATTCCCAGGCTGGTTGGAGGTGAAGACGCGGAATCAAGAGGCTTTCTGCAGAGGTCAGCAACAAATGGGCAGCAGGGGGCTTCGGTGGCCCCAAGGCTGATGCTCAGTCGTTTTGGGAATACAGCATCTGAGCCCAGAAACTGCACCTAATCCTCGTCAATCTCCGCCACCACGAACCCCTTAATCACTGGAGAGCTGAGTAGGGGGATGTCGAGGTTGCATGTAATTAAAAAGTACTTCTAAAGAACATCAAACCTCTCAAACGACAAAAGAGTTCAAAGTTCCCCTGAACTCTTAAAGCCACAGAGCTGCGGAAGAAGGAGGGTAAGTGGCAGACACCCTGTTGTACGGCTTTAGGGGAAGAGAAAGCATCAGGAGATAGGGAGACAGACTCCAGCCTGGAACCCAGCAGGAGTAGGGGGGAGTGGGGAGGAAAACCAGCCTGCGGAGGCCTGGGAGCAGGGCATTCCTGGCGGGGGATGCAGTGCCGAAGAGCCCTCGCTGCCCCGCGGGCTCGGGGTGCTGGAGGAGCTGCAGGGGGCCACAGCGCAAGGGGAGCTGGGGGGCAAGGGGCAGGGATGGGAGGAGTCGGCTCAGGGAGGGCTTGTGTCTTGGGGAGAACTCTGGGCGATATCCTAAAGGCAGGTGGGAAGAGGACAGGACAAGGGAGGACATAATGTGAGCCTGTTTTAAGACTCCAACCCTAGAATCCACCATGGGGGTCAAGAGAGGACACGGGAGGTCAGGCAGGTGACCACAAGCCTGGGTGGTGGGGGTGGAAACGAGGCGTGGGGCACTTTTCGAGGAGTCAGAGTTTGCGGACGGCTGGCTAGGGGGATGTCTGTGGAAGAGGAGCTGTGGAGAGGGAAGCTGCCGACTCTGAGAGGGAAAGACCAGGTGGGTTCAGGCTTGTGCGGAGCAGTTCAGGAACGGGGTTTGGGATGTGTGCTGCGGGGTGGATGTCGACTCCTTGCGCGGCTCAGCAGCGACCCCGGCATACCCTCACCCCCCACACTTGGTCTTCCGCCTTTCTGCTCCCAAAGTTCCCTCTTCCATCCTGCCTCCAACACCACCGCTGCCCGTTCCTCAGAAAGCTAAAAATTAAAAATACAACTACCGTATGATCCAGCAATCCGATTTCTGGGCATGGACCCAAAGGAAAAGAAACCCCTGACGCCGAGATGGCTGCACCCCCACGTTCACAGCAGCGTCATTCACAGCAGCCAAGACATGGAAACAACGTACGCGTCCACAGATAAAAAACTAAAGAAAATGTGGTGCATTTATGGAATATAATTCAGCCATGAGAAGGAAGGGAATCCCACCATTTGCTATAACACAGATGAGCTCTGAGGACGTTGTGCTAAGTGAGAGGAGTCAGAGAAAGACAAACACCGTGTGATCTCACTTACAGAAGGAAACCCTAACAGCGGAGCTCACAGAAACCCAACAGAGGCGAGGGTGTGGTAAAGGTAGTCAAAACGGACCAACTTTTATTTCTAAGATAAGTAAGACCTGAGGATGTAATGTAAA